ACTTTAAACTTTAAGATAAATTTAGGCACCACAAGCATGCAACACAAGGAAATAAGTAGACTTATTGGAAAAAAAAATGTTAACATAATTAAGTATAAACATTTAAGACACACAAATGCATGTGCAAGTAAAGGAAAAACAATTAATACATATGTAAAAAAAACAGTAAAATTTAAATTATGTGTTAAAATATATAGACTAATTTATTGAAACTAACCTGGAAAAATAAATATGAAAGTCAATTAAAATATAAAACGGGAGATAAAGTTCTCTAATTGGTGCCTTTAAGTGTATTTATTTAATAGTTCATTTATATAATTCTGCTTTTATTTCTAATTATGTTAGTGTTGGTCATCCGTACTGCAGAGGCCTGATAATCATCTATTCATTCATATCAGGTGTGTTGGAGCAGAGAAACAAGTAAACATGCAGGGCTGCAGCCCTCCACGACCAGGACTGCCCACCCCTGGTTTAAACAAAGGGAAAAAAATGTTCAGACCACACTGTTAAAGTAACTCAAACAACCTCCACAACTAGACTCTTTCTTTTTAAACCGTTTAAACTTCGCTGAATCCCATCCCAGTGAGACTTTGATCAAATTTTCACCAGAAAGACAAAAACAAACATACAAAAATAAACATCTTCTCTCAGTGGCTGTAACAAAGTGCAGGAAAAAAAACATTAAAAAGCACAATTTAACACACTTGTTTCCCAGTTGCATAATGCTCCAGAAACAGATAATGTTTATTAAATGTCTTATTGCAAGTGTTTCAATTAACTCTCAGCTAGGGCTGTGTATTGGCAGGAATATGGCGATACGATACATATCATGACAGAGGGGTCACGATACGATATATCCAGATATATTGCGATACTATAAGCAAGGTGATATATTGCGATTTTTTTGGTCCAAGAACTCTGTTAAATAAAAACCTCTTTTAGGGGAAAAAAAAAGAAAAACCAAAATTCATTGTCTCAGAAAATTCTAATATTAAATAGACATACTTTTGATACCTTTAGCTGTGTTCTGCTTTGTATGTGTTTTATTTTATTTGTTTCATATTTCTTATTTCATCCATGTTTTCAATTATTAGACTAAATTTGCCAATAAATAGTTTGAAAATATATTTTTTGCAGCTTTTAGTTTTTAATATTAATCTACAGTATGGTCACCCAACACTAAACAATAGCCTCTGCCTCGAGAGGTAGAGTAGCCAAATGGCTGGCTCACTGCTGCCAACTAGCCGTTCATTTTTATGTTGTAGTTCAGCCTCTGACCACTAGTTGGCAGCAGTGAGCTGACGCTCACTGCTGCCAACTAGTGGTCAGAACATAAAAATGAACGGCTGGCAGGAAAGTTGACATTTTAAACCTTAATAAAAAATCGATACAGGGCTTTAGAATATCGATACAGTATCGGGAAATGAAATATCGCGATATTTCAGTGTATCGATATTTTCTTACACCACACTGAAGTTTAGCACAATTAAACCGACTTATAGCCAATTTTGTGTTTCCTATGAGCAATATAATGGTAGATCAGAGGCAGAGCTTTGATTAATGAAAATAAAATGTGTGACAACTCTGTGAAAACCTTACAGGGTTCGTCTGAAATTTAAACTGAATTAAAAAAAATATTCATGTTTTGAGAAATGTACTGTCTGCGCAAAATGCACATTTTATAAAGAACAGTTCTGCTCGGTTGTTTAATAAACTAGAGGACAGTAGTTATTTACTAATGGACTAAAAGCTGCAAATCAAACTGAACAGACAATTATTTTTATTGTTGATTATGTTGCCTTATTTTACCATTCCTCCCACAGACCAAAAACATGACTGTGAGGTTAACTGATAACTCTAAATTGTCCCTAGGTGTGAGTGAGAGAGTGAATGGTTGTTTGTCTCTATGTGTGTCTCTGTGATGGACTTGTGACCTGTCCAGGGTGTACCCCGCCCCTCGCACTGTGACTATGGGCACCAGTGACCCCTGAAAGGAAGAAGCATCACTTTAACAAATGCAGCAACACATTTGTCCAGCAGGGGTCACTGTTGTCTCATTTCTGTCAACTTTCAGGCTGAAAGACACACACCTGAAATTCACTACAAACTTTTATTTGTACTTTTCAAAGACAGTTTTAATGAGGATGAGAATGACTACGTAAGGGAAAGCAGCAACCTTGAGGCAGAACGACAGAAACATTTCTGTGAGGAGGCGCAGAAAGAAGAGCAGAGGCAACAACGAGAGATGAACTTCCAAGAAGACCTGAAGAAAATCATGGAGACAGAAAAAGTAAGTTTCTCTGGATGTTTTGTCCTAAATGAATACAGCAGTTTATGGTCACTTACTATTAAAAACAGCAAAACAAAACACGTAAACTTCACTTGTGTAAGTTTAAGTTTTTGCCTCATATACACTTTATTTGCAAGCAAGACACTTTCTATCTGTGTTTCTAGAAGATGCTGCTTCGTGCTAATGCATTTTAATTATTTTAGCATAACTTTGTGTGTGCAGCGCCACCAGACGGAACTTAAGCTGATGGAAAGAAAAGCTCAGGAAAAAATTGAACAGGAGTTGTTGATTCAGGAGGTGAGTTAAAGTTACATTTTCCAGCAGTCTGATGTAAAAAAAAAACACAACCAGTTATTATTGGTCCACTGTTCATGTGGAAAACCATGTGATTGTGTATGATCACACAAATGTGTTGAAAATGTACAATCATAGGAAGTATGTGTAAAATGTGTTCATTTAACAAATGAATACATCAAACACCAACATATACAAAATGCTAATTATGGGTCAGTTTGTCAAGATGGAAAGTGATACAAAACTGACTGATGCATCCATCCATCCGTCCGTCCGTCCATCCGTCCGTCCGTCCGTCCGTCCATCCGTCCGTCCGTCCGTCCGTCCGTCCGTCCATCCATCCATCCATCCATTTTTCAAACCTAAAGAAACATTGCACTGCTGAATGATACTGTAGTCAGATCCGGCTCTTGGCATAGGCGAACTAGGCGGTCACCTAGAGCGCCGTCTGCTGGAGGGGGCGCCGAACTGCAGAAAAAAAGTATTTATTTATAATCCCTGGTTGTAACTCTGCTCAGCGCCCTTTTCAATTAACACTGTCTTAAAAAAACTATAATGAAGTATTACAGGAAAAATAAAGTACTCTACCCATAAAACA